AACCTTTCCGGCTGGGCGTGGTGGCTCACACCTGTAATCCAAGCACTTTGGAGGCTAAGGTGGGCGGATCACCTGAGGTCAGGAGTTTAAGACCAGCCTGACCAACATGGTGAAATCCCGTCTTAAAAAAAAAAATTTCCTACCTCTGCTACAAACAAGCATTTTAGGCTGTTGAGAGAAGTGATTTTGCAGAATCTTTTTATTGAGACCTTTTCGTGAAAGGCAAATAACCCAGACTGAAGTTAATGACATCGGTACTTTTTTTTCTTTCTTTCTTTCTTTTTTTTTTTTTTTTTTTTGAGTTAGAGCCTTGTTCTGTCACCCAGGCTGGAGTGTAGTGGCGCCATCTTGGCTCACTGAAACCATTGCCTCCCGGGTTCAAGTGATTCTCCTGCCTCAGCCTCCCGAGTAGCTGGGATTACAGGCCCGTGCCACCATGCCCAGCTAATTTTGTATTTTTAGTAAAGACGAGGTTCACTATGTTGGTCAGGCTGGTCTCGAACTCCCAACCTTAGGTGATCTGCCCACCTCAGTCTCCCAAAGTGCTGGGATTACAGGCATGAGCCACTGCGCCTGGCTCTATTCTATATGCTTTTCTTTATTTTCTCTTTTTATTCTACATGTTTTTCTTTATTTCCAAGTTTTATATAATAGTGATCAAGAAAAGGTAATTATTTATTTAAAAAGAAAAAAAAGCTCATGAGTTATCAGAACCCAGTAGATCTAAATGGCATTACAAACACTATTGTGTTCAGAGGTATCTCCCCTAAGTAGTGCCAGGTTAGGGAACGCTGCCGGTCAATGTTTCCCAAACTCCAGGAACCATCTGTCCCATAGTGTCATATCTGTATAGAACCTACACCATTACTTAATATTTTTATAGAAATCAACTCAGTTTTTAAAATTTGAATACCTGTATTTCAAGAAAAATTATAAATCACTCTAAACAGAAAAATAATGTCACATGCCCTTAATGGGAAGTAATCACAAAAAGAAATGCAATAAAACAAAACAATATCATTAAATTCTAAACTGGTAAACCTTCTGAGCTTAAGACCTGTTTTTGCTCTGTTTAATAAAAGCAGGGGCTGAGGGAGAGTATTTTCAGGGAGGAGGGACAGATTTACAAGGGTTTGAAAGTAAGCCTAGGCTAGCAACAGACTCCTCAAAGGATTCAGGAAGATTGAAAGACAACGAAAATTATTTTCTCACTAGACATTTGATTTGTTTTTAATGATTTGCCCACCTACCACTGAACTGCCTAGGATACAACACCTGGGGAAAGTGCCGTGCAGTGTTCCCGGCACCAGTGGGTCTCCCAGAGTCTGCCAGTCACTTACCCAGCTGCTTTCAAACTCAAGAACAGCTGTTTGTACCATCAATGCCTTTCCACTCCTCTTACAATTCCAAAGTCCTGTCTTTGTTCAAGATCATGGTATTTGCATGCAGTATTTTTAATGTCTTCATCATTTATTTGCAAATTATGCCTCAGGGTTTGTGACACCATAAACTTGCCAATGCTGTGCCAGTCCTGAGTCTGAAACAGGCCAGGCAAGTCGAAGGGGGCACGAACATGCCACCTGTGCAGGGAAATGGTGGAAGCCAGACTAGAGTTCAGTGAACTTAAATGTCACTCATTACACAGAGGAGGATGCTGAGGGCTGAAAGGAGGGAGGCACTGATGAACAGTGACAGAGTTGGGTTAGGATCCAGTCCCCAACTCTCAGTCCAATGTCATCTTTCCACCACACTCCATCTGAAATTTGCTCAGAACCAAAGATCACTGGTCGCTTCTAGTTTGAAAGGTTCGCCTGCTTTGGAATTCCCTTCTAGCCACAGGATCAGAAACTATTAATAACATCAGAGGCCAGGCTGGACACAGTGGCTCACATCTGTAATCCCAGCACTTTGGGAGGCCAAGGAGGGTAGATTGCTTGAAGCCAGGAGTTCGAGACCAGCCTGGCCAACATAGTGAAACCCCATCTCTACTAAAAATACAAAAATTAGCCAGGTGAGGTGACTTGTGCCTGTAGTCCCAGCTACTCAGGAGGCTGAAGCAGAAGAATCACTTGAACCTGGGAGGCAGAGGCTGCAGTGAGCCAAGATGGTGCCACAGCAGTCCAGCCTGGGCAATAGAGCAAAATAAATAAATAAATAGAAAATAACAAAATAAATAACAAATAGATAAATAAATAAATAGAATATATTTATAAATAAATAAATAGAAAATAACATCAGAGGCCAATATAAAGAAGAGAAGGAATCCTCCTGCAAGTGTTTCTCTTTGCATCCCTGAAATATCAGTGACCTCTCTTCTACTGGGAGCCTGTGGAAGAAACACGGACCCATGACCTTCAGCAGGAGAGACCTCATATGTTACATTCAACCATATACAGAGCCTCTCTATCCCCTAGACCTCCTGTCCAGCTGCCTCATTTTATAGAAGTGAGTTGGTCCCAGAGAAGGGTGATTTGCTTCAGATCACCCAGCTAGTAGTTGGCAGTGTTAGGCTTAGAATGCAAGTCTTCTGGATCCAAGGCTATTGCTTATTAAAAAAAAAATTCTCAATAAAATTCACTTTTCAGGCCAGACACAGTGGCTCACGCCTGTAATCCCAACACATTGGGTGGTCAAGGCAGGCAGATCACTTGAGCCCAGTAGTTCGAGACCAACTAGGGCAACATGGTGAAAACCCATCTCTACAAAATATACACAAATTAGCCAGGTGTGGTGGTGCACACCTGTGGTCCCAGCTACTCAGGAGGCTGATGAGAGGATCACTTGAGCCCATGAAGTCAAGGCTTCAGTGAGCCATACTCATGCTACTGCACCGTAACAGAGACCCTGTCTCAAAAAAGGTGAAATAAAATTCACTTTTCAATCCCATAATTACTCTTCTCCATCACTTCCTTGCATATCCTCAACTCTCTCTTCCTTCACTTCACGCTACTTTGCCAAAACCACAACCTGGTTAAATCCAACTCTCCACTTATTTAGCACCTGACCCTGCATAGCTGAACAAAATTTGTGAAGAAAGCACAACCATACCAGCTGCTCTCACATTTACATTCACATTTAATGATGCCAGGCAGCCATACTACACATTCTCAGTCAGTAGATATTGGCACATCCCACTCAATAATTGTTGAGCCAATGAGTCGAATACATGAATTTTGGTTAGGGTCCCGTTAATGCCATAGTTCTGCTTGTCCAACTTGTAACATTTCACAGAATGAATTTTGAAACCAGGCTGTGGTGTGTGTTCAGGCTGAAATGGTAACATTGTCACCTTTGTTTGGAAGCTGTCTGAATGGGGTTTGCCTGGGCTGGTTCAACCTATCTGCCAAGGAGGCTCTTACTTGATTTAAATTGTTGTTGGAACCAGGGCTTGACCTGAGAACCTCAGGACTTTTCTTCCTCCGGGAAGAGCTTTTTGAAACAAGTCTAGCGGTCAGTCCAAAGCTCAGGAGCTGCAACTCAACTTATAAAGCCTTTTTTATAGCATTACTTGAATAAGTAAATAGTTGGCTTCCTATTTCAAGGGAAGATGTGTTTGTTCTCAAAGCTGTCTCCTGGCACCCATTGGGATGCTGGAAAACACACCTCTGCCCTCTTGATGTTTTTTTTTTGTTTTTTTTGAGATGGAGTTTCACTCTTGTTACCCAGGTTGGAGTGCAATGGCGCAATCTCGGCTCACCGCAACCTCCGCCTCCTGGGTTCAGACAATTCTCCTCCCTCAGCTTCCTGAGTAGCTGGGATTACAGGCACGCACCACCATGCCCAGCTAATTTTTTGTATTTCTGGTAGAGACAAGGTTTCACCATGTTGACTGGGATGTTCTCGATCTCTTAACCTCGTGATCCCCCCGCCTTGGCCTCCCGAAGTGCTGGGATCACAGGCGTGAGCCACTGTGCCCAGTCCTGATGTTGTTTTAAAATAGCCGGTGCAGTTTGGATTCTTTGACCACAAAAACAATTGTACATTGCAGCTGAAATACAAGCCACACTGCTTCCTCCACTCCGGTTTGAATCCCATCTGTCCCCTACCTCGTCATAAAGCTTACTAAGAACCTGACCTCCTTTTCACTCAGTGTAGGTGCCCATGCCAATGATGCTCATTGTTTGTTTTTCATTGATGTCAGCAGTGCTAATGATTAAGTGAAACACTCCACCCCATTCAAATGTCTTGCTCTCACCTGCTGATCCCATTGTGAAAAAAGGTGCAGCGTGCCTTCCAGTATTTCTCCCAGAACTGGTCGATACGGTGCAAGTAAGGTGAAACAGTGGAAAGTCAGCCCTGTTGATGTGAATCATGCCCCCCCTCTGACCGGTGCCCCAAATGTCAGCCTTCTCCCCACTCAGATGTGGTTGTCCTTGGAAAGACCCAGAACAGATATTTCACCACTAAGTGGTACTAGACAAAAACGGAAGGTATAAGCAAAGCAGACATAAGTCATTATCGAGGTAGGTACTTCAGTTGCACACTCTTTATGTATGTAACTGACAACCCAATCAAATTTTTTTTTTTTTTTTTGAGACGGAGTCTCACTCTGTCACCCAGCCTAGAGTGCAGTGGCATTATGTCGGCTCACTGCAACCTCCGCCTCCAAGGTTCTCCTGCCTCAGCCTCCCAAGTAGCTGGAACTATAGGAGCATGCCACCACACCTGGCTAATTTTTGTATTTTTAGTAGAGATGGGGTTCACTATTTAGCCAGGCTCATCTTGAACTCCTGACCTCATGATCTACCCACCTCGGCCTCCCAAAGTGCTGGGATTACAGGCATGAGCCACCATGCCTGGTGTGAATTCTTTTTTTTTTTAAATGATGCAGAATTCTAGCTCATGTTAGGGGCAGGCAAGAATGCTATTACCCTGAGGTCTGAGTTGCCTTTAACAAGAGAACACCAAAACAGTGAAGAATAATTGCCAATTGTTGGTTCAAAAAAAGAACAATGAAAGGCAATCCCCCACTCCGACCTCACCCCCTACTCTTGCCCCCTTACACTCTCAATCTCTCCACGAGATTTAAAAAAGAAAAGCCCAGGAAATTCCAAGCATGAATGCCTCCCCAGATAAGACAGAAATGGAAGAAAAGTAAGCATTTTGATCTTCATGCAAACATGGAGTTAATCTGGGGACAGCCAGGCACAATTACACAGATGAATTCATTGTGTGAAATGGTCGCTGAGCGTAGAGAATGTCAGTTCCCGTTCAGAGTCCAAGCTCTGTAGGGGTCATACCTGAATCTGCTGAGCTGAGCACATGGAAACCTCGGTGTGCATTCAGCTTTGACCATTCTTTTTAATTTATTTCAGAGTGGCTCACTGGGGTGGCTTCAGGAAATACAAATAAGTGTCCGATGTAGTGTTCGAAAACATGCTGGGTTTTGATTTGTATTTAACTGAAAATAGAGATAAAAATCTTTGGGCCTCTATTTACATGTGTTAAAGTTGTTCTTCAGATAATGGTATGTTTTTTAGACTCTTTTACTCTTCAAATCAGCTTTAATTCATCAGGAGAGGAAGCCCTCTCGAGTGACACCGCCTTAGACTGGGCATGATGGCAGCCAGGTGCTGGCTCTGGTTATGTCGAATTCCCCAGGGGTTCTCGGGTACTTCGTTCCTTGACTCTGGGTCTCCACATCTGTCAACCGAGAAGTCCCAGAACTGGTAGCTACAGTGCAAGTGAAGCGAGACAGTGGAACGTCAACCCTGTTGATCTGAATCATGCCACCCTACCCTTCCAGCACCCCAGATGTTGGCCTTCTCCCCACTCGGATGTGGTTGTCCTTGGAAAGACCCAGAACAGATATTTCACTACCAAGTGGTACTAGACAAAACCGGAAGGTATTAGCAAAGCAGAAGTATGTGCTGGACTAAGTCCGTGATCCATTTCTCTAGTTCTGAGGCTCCAACTCAGTGGAGTTTGGAAATACCACTCCATCTTCAGGCTTTTATTTTACACAAATGGGAAGTATTTTTACAACGTAAACTGCTTGTGACTCTACAGCATGATTGACTTACCAGACCCATAGACTCAGGGCCACAGCAGGAAAGGATTCAAGGATTAAATACCCATCCCTGTTCCAAACAAGGGAAATTCTAAACTCATCAAGTATCACAGGCCACAAAGAATGTGTGAAATTTAGCATTGCAAAGGAACTGCATTTTCTCAGTGTTTATAAAATATTTGCACTGAAAGAATCCTTAGCAAGCATGTAAGCCCCAAAAGGTTAAGCAGCTTGCCCAGGAGCACACAGGCAGCAGGGAGGGTATCAGGACCAAAATGCAGGTCTTCTGGCTCCCAGCAGGTTCAGGCTCCAGCGCGTGCCCTTCATAGTTAGGAAAGTTCACCTTTTGAATTTGCCTTTTCATATTCACCTGCACCCTTAACAAACAGGGAATGGAAATGTTGAATTCTGCATGTTGGGAGTTAGATCATCTTGCAGTTCATTAGAGAAATCAATATTGATGAAAAATTCACAGTTGCCTAGTCTGTAGGACAGTTTCACAAAATGTGATGGTCTTCATTTGACACTGCCCCTGTTTCGTCACTAGAAGTGCGGCAACCAGGAGACGAAGGAAAGAGGCCATGGTCTCCTTGGGAACCGTGTTACTTACAGAACAAGGAACAGCTTCGGCTAGAGATGTCTATGCTGACTTTGGGGTATGGATCAGAAAAGGGTCCTGGCTAGCTGATGGAGATCTGGCCAATGGAAAACAGGGTGGTTTTAGAGTTAAAAACAAACAACCCTGGGTGTGGTCTCAGAATATCCCTTGATCTCACAGCTTTGGAAAAGGGACCCCCATTTCCAGCATTCTCAAATGCTCAAGCTACCAATACACGTGTCTCCCAAAGTCAGAGCTTACAGGCAAGGCACCACACTTCTGTTCCATGCACTTGAATTCAGGGATCCTGTCTGCTCCAGGTCCTCTGGGGAGGAAAGGGAGAGTCAGCTGAAAGTGACAGAAATTCACAGTAAGTTTAAGAGAAGCTAGCCTGGCACTGTGAGGTGAAGTGGGGGGAATGGCCCAGAACCAGTAGAGTTGAGTTTCACTGCATTTGGGCTTTGTGAACTTGGGCAGGAAATTTACCCTGTTTCCTCATCTGTGAGATAAGGAGAGACATACCTCCTGAAAGGATTAAAGGAGAAGACAGTGTCTCAAGAGATGCTGTCATTTCCTGAGCACCCATGGGCTCATCTTATCCTCACAACTGAAAATGCTTTTTCAGATGTCAGACATGGAAAGATAAGGCACCTAAAAGAGGATGTCACTTTGACGACCAATCCTCCCCCAACCCAAAGCCAATTATCATCATCACTGGTGAAACTGTGAAACAGCCTGTGATTCACTTACATACTTGTCTGTGTCCTTAAGATCAGCTTCCATCTTCTGTGTCTTCATTCCCAGTTCTCTCTCTATTCCTAGTGTCATCTCTTACAGATGATGTTTTTCCCTAACCCCACTTAAGTAGGGAAGCAGCTTTCCGTATCTGGAAGCAGATGGACCGCACTGGGCTTGTGGAGACACCATGACTTCTGGTCCTAGATGATGTCCCCTTCTCACCATTCCCACACAGTCACCCTTTGAGCTTACACCATCCTCATAGCAGACCCTGTTGGCACCACTCTGTGGGGGAACAGCAACCCACAGGGTTCAGGTGCAGAAGTAAGCACCTGTCAGGTGTGATCCTGGCTCTGTCCCACTCACTGTGGGACCTAAGTGAATCCACCTCCTCTCTCTGAGCCTCAGTTTCCCCAAGGGTAAAAAGAAGAATCTAGATGGGGTACCTCTCAAGGGCCACTCCAGCTCAGATCCTCTGACTTGCTTAGTGTGTGAAAAGGCTTCTTTTTTCTAAAGCTAAGTATGGCAAGGACTTCTCTTCCCTTTCTAGGTATTTCAGACTTTCTTTAAAAAGATCTTATTTTGGCAGGGCAAAGTGGCTCATGCCTGTAATCCCAACACTTTGGGAGGCTGAGGCGGGTGGATCACAGAACAGGAATTCAAGACCAGCCTGGCCAATGTGGTGAAAACTCATCTCAACTAAAGATACAAAAAAAAAAAAAATTAGCTGGGCATGGTGGTGTGTGCCTACAATCCCAGCTACTTGGGAGGCTGAGGCAGGAGAATCGCTTGAACCTGGAAGGCAGAGGTTGCAGTGAGCCGAGATCGCGCCATTGCACTTCAGCCTGGACAACAGGTTGAGATTCCGTCTCAAAAAAAAAAAAAGAGTTTATTTTACCAGGCTTTTTGAGGTCCACTGCCACTCAGAGGCCAAAATTCTCCCAATTTCAGTAGCTAGAAGAAAATCAGATCAAAAAGCATCCCTGCGCCTTATCTGAACCCAAATTCTGCTTTGAACCATTTGCCAAGTCTAGGGCTTATCAGCCAGAGTGTGTGTGAATTACCATATGAAAGGACTCTCTTGGATCATATTTAAAAGAATCGTCATTTCAATTTAGATAAGAAAAACACCCAGTCCTTCAGAAAAGACATATAAATTCTTCTCTAAATGTCCAAACAGATTTATGCCCATAGAAGATGTAATTATCTCCTTCTGAAATGAAGGAATCTTCTAGCTGTGAGGGTGAGCCAAGAAGCCAGAACTTTTTGCTTGAGAGGAGACTGAAGCAGGGCCACTACAGAAGGTTGTCCAAGTTGTTCACTGCGCAAGGGCACTGGGCCAAGAGGGGGTGGGAGAGGCATGAGTTGCGGCTTAAATCCAGCCTGAGCTCCACCGGCCAAGTCATGTGTCCAGCGCAGGGTTACATCAGTTCAAATGGAGGTGCACCTTGTGGCAATTTAGTACAGGCTGCCTGTATACGCTAGCAGGCAGCCCCCAGTGTAGAAAAATGGGTCTTATCTTTGTTAATAAACACATCAGCTCCCAGAGGCTCAGAGCCAGAGCAGATGGCAGAAAAGCAGAAGTGAAGGCTGAGGGGTGGGGCAAGCATGGGGAGAAGCTCCTTTTGGAAACCATCTTGGGTGTCTGCAGAGGAGCTTACACCCTAATGCCTCCCAGCTGGACTAAATGAACATGGTTCTGAGAAGACTCCAGTAAGAGACCCTTTCCAACCCCTCCCTTCCTTTATTGTCCCTCCATTAGCGCTCTGCTCAGCCTTCCCTGACTTCCCCGCCTGCACCAGAATCCCCACTGCGGGTTATCTGAGCACTCTTGTTTTCCCTTTACAACACTCAAGCTGCACTTTAAATTATGTGAGCGTAGGGAATTAGAGTCACCTCTGTCCCCCCAATACTAGACTAAAAGTGTGAAGGCAAACTATGTGGGGTTTTGCTCTTGTACCCCCAGGACCCAGCATAGTGTCTGGGACATGAAGCAGGAACTGTGAATGAATTAAAATGGTGTGAATTAAAGGGTGTGGGCCTTGCACTCTGCATCCCTTTTTGCCAGGCCTAGGAGGCTGTCTGGACACAGTGACATGTGGTCACCACGAGGTAAGTTCTGTACCCAGGCCCAGGAGACACAGACCAGAACAGACATATCCAGCCCTGACCAGGCATCCAAAACACATATGAAGACCAATGAAAACAGCTTCCCAAAACTCACCTTAAGAGATTGTGATTCAGGGCTAGGATTTATGAATTTAACAAGGTCCCCCAGGTGACACTAATCAGCCTATTAGAACTGAGAACTCAACAGATACTGTTCCAATAGATACAAAGAAGCACAGGGACCAAAGAGAAGGATCCTGGGAGGCTTTCCAGGGCAAATGACGTCCCAGTCAGGTCTTGATGGCTGGGAAGGGCATTCTGCATCAAGGGAAAGACATAAACAAAGACAGAGATAGAGACATTTGCACGTGGGGTAAACAAATGGGGGCAGGGCAGCAGGGATGAATCCAAATGACAAGAATCCACTCCTGGGGGAAAACCCAGCGTAAGTCACCCACCACTCAACTGGGCTCCCTGAGCCCTTTTAAGTAGGAAGCCCACATTTTGGCAGCCCCCAGAGGAGTTCCTCTGCAACCCCATTTTTCATCCAGGCTTCTATCCGATGTTCAGTCCCATTTCCCTTCTTTTTTTTTTTTTTTTTTTTTTTTAAGACGGAGTCTTGCTCTGTGGCCCAGGCTGGAGTGCAATGGCATGATCTTGGCTCACTGCAACCTCCGCCTCCTGGGTTCAAGCGATTCTCCTGCCGAATAGCTGAGATTACAGGTGTGCGCCCCCATGCCCAGCCAATTTTTGTATTTTTAGTAGACAGGGTTTCACCGTGTTGGTCAGGCTAGTCTCGAACTCCTGACCTTTTGATTGGCCCACCTCAGCCTCCCAAAGTGCTGGGACTACAGGCGTGAACCACCATGTCCAGCCCCCCTTCTCCATCTTTCTCATGTTCTTTCTAGTTAGACTATGGGCTCATGGGGTCCAGTGGCCATCAGGGAAGTATTGCCAGCAGGTTCTTTGATAAATAGGCCTGATTTAAGAACTCCAAACTGTCCTGGCTGGATATAGGAGATGCTGAAGCTGGCAAAAATAGTAGCCCCTACAACCAATATCTACAGCCACGCATCTCCAGTGTGTCAGAGAAGGGTCATTTTACTTGATATAAAAGCAGTATCTGGAGCATGGAGGTCAGGCCCCAGGGAGGCCTACACATCATGCCACACTTCCATCTTTTTTTTGAGCCCAGAATGAGAAGGCTAAGGTTGGAAATGACAGAGGCGATGCCTGTGGGATGGGAGGGCAGATCTTCAAACACCTGCCTGAGCCCTGCCTGAGCTGGAGCAAGAGAATCCACATGCTGGGTGACTCGGGCTGTAGAAATGAGCTCTCACTCCAGGCTCCCAACCATCCCTCCACATCTTTCCATGACTGCCTCTCTCTGTCCTCATTCCTCTTCCTCCAACGGGCCTGGGCGGGTTTGGCATGCCAGTGCTCTCTCGTAACTGGACTTTTCTAACGGGCCTGCCTGTTGACTGGACATGTTTTGGACAACAAGTAAATAGGCTGGAGAGAAGAAATGGACGTCCTCAGCACGTGGTCCCTCTCTTTGGACCAGGCAGCCTCTGGGGAACCAGTGTGGATCTGAAGTTCCCAGCCTCTGCACCAGCTGCAGACCCAGGTGTCTTCTGAGCAATGCCCCATGCCACAGTTCAGTGCCACCCCGCCAAAGCCTGAACTATCTTGTCTGCTGTCCAGTTATAAATTAATCTCTTGTCATCAGTGATTAACTTACTCAAGCCACAGGAGCTGCTGAACCAAAACAGTCCCTTGGGGTGAAAGAGCCTCCAGCACGGTGTGGTGTGTAGGTCTGCCTGTGACCCTGGCCACTCTGGCCCTTGCGCTGTGTCAGCAGGGCTGCAGGGATGGCCAGGGCAGGGGTCCGGCTCTGGGCACCACCACCCTGCAATGTTGACTGCATCACTCAAAGTGCAGATCCATGCTGCAAACATCTAGGGCTTGTACATGTGTGTGTGCATGAGTTTGTCTGCAAGGAAGGCTTTGGAAAGGGGGTTGAGGTGGGGCATGTCCCTAGGGGCACAAATCACCTGAATACAAAGAACCTGAGACTGATAGAGGGGCAGAGGGGAGCCCAACTTCGGAACTCACAGATGCTGAAGGGAGTTATGGGCTACCCCTTAGAGCATAAGCCATCACAGTGGGAAGAGGCCTGAAGGTCATTACTTCCAACTTCCTAATTCTACAGAGGCCAAGGAAGAGGGCTTGACTCACCCAAGGCCACACTCTAAAGCTGATGGGGAGGAAAAGACAAATGTCGAGTCTTACCTGTATGTCAGATAAAGGCTCATTTAGTCACCACCATGATAGGCAACAAACAACTTCCTTAGAAAACGTTTCCAAGAAATCCTTCTATACACCACTGCTACCATTTAAAGACCTCAAAAGTAAGATTTCTCTGAGTTGTTGTCTGAATAACCCTGGTAGATTTGGTCTCCCTTCTTAGTTCAGGGCACCTCGCAGCAATTTTAAAATGGCAGCTTTATTTACCTCTAGGGTGTTCCTCCCCCAGAAAACTGTAACCCCAGCCCACCCGGGAGGAAAACATCACACCAAGCCAGAGGGAAGGATGTTCTACAAAGAACTTCAACCCTACTCCTCACAACTGTCACCAAAAGCCAAGAAAAGCCTGAGAAGCTGTCACGCACCATGGGGCTAAGGAGACACGATGATTAAGTGCAATGTGGCACCCTGGATGGGATCTGGGAAAAGGAAAAGGTCATTGGGAAAAATTAGTGGCATGTGAATAAAGTATAGAGTTAACAGTAATGTAACAATGCTGCTCCTTAGTTGCAACAAATGGACCATAGTAATGTAAGTCTGTGGCCACAAATGTCCCACAGTAATGTAAGTCTGTGGCCACAAATGTTCCACAGTAATGTAAGTCTAGGGCCACAAATGTCCTACAGTAATGTAAGTCTTTGGCCACAAATGTCCCACAGTAATGTAAGTCTAGGGCCACAAATGTCCCATAGTAATGTAAGTCTGTGGCCACAAATGTCCCATAGTAATGTAAGTCTGTGGCCACAAATGTCCTACAGTAATGTAAGTCTAGGGCCACAAATGTCCTACAGTAATGTAAGTCTAGGGCCACAAATGTCCTACAGTAATGTAAGTCTAGGGCCACAAATGTCCTACAGTAATGTAAGTCTGTGGCCACAAATGTCCTACAGTAATGTAAGTCTGTGGCCACAAATGTCCCATAGTAATGTAAGTCTTTGGCCACAAATGTCCTACAGTTATGTAAGTCTGTGGCCACAAATGTCCCACAGTAATGTAAGTCTAGGGCCACAAATGTCCTACAGTAATGTAAGTCTTCGGCCACAAATGTAGTACAGTAATGTAAGTCTGTGGCCACAAATGTCCTACAGTAATGTAAGTCTGTGGCCACACCATCCTGAACTTGTCTAGAGTAATGTAAAATGTTAACAGTAGGGGAAACTGGGTATGAGATACACAAACTCTGTACTACCTTTGCATCTTTTCTGTAAATCTTTTTTTTTTTTAATGAAATGGAGTTTTTTTCTTGTCATCTAGGCTGGAGTGCAATAGCACAGTCTTGGCTCACTGCAACCTCTGCCTCCCAGGTTCAAGCGATTCTCTTGCCTCAGCCTCCTAAGTAGCTGGCACCACTGCACTCCAACCTTAATGGCAGAATGAGACCCTGTCTCAAAAAGAAAAAAGTAAGTAGAACCATTCATCAACTGATAAATGGATAATTGTAGTATCTCTATGCAATGGATTCAATGGGATATTTGGCCATAAAAAGAAATTAAGTAGTAATACATGCTATACCATGGAAGAGCTCGGAGGCATTATGCTAAGTTAAAGTAAGTCAGACATAAAGACCACATACTGCATGGTTCCATTTATATGAAATGTCCATATGGGTAGCCTCTCTGGCCAGGTGCAGTGGCTCACAACTGTAATCCCAGCATTTGGGGAGGCCAAGGTGGGAGGATTGCTTGAGGCTGAGAGTTCAAGACCAGCCTGTGTGTTAAGTCCTCTGGCTGATATCTGTCACAGATATAGAAAGGACTCAGTAGAGAGCTCTCGATCACAAAAATGAGCTTAGAGAAGAAAGAAATCTACCCAACTAAGCGCTGCAGCCTTGGCAGATCAGAAGTGGAAGAGCAAAGGAATTGCAGGCAGACAAAGCTGGATGTAAAAACAGCCCGGCTATTTCATCTTAGGAAGGTACATTTTGAGCCTCTTGTGTAACATAAGGATATAGTGCCCACCTCACTGTGTCATTTTGAGATTACGAAGATTATGTGTCACAGCATCCTGATTCAGGTCTGGCAAATAAGAGACAGTCAATAAACTGCAGGTACTGTTTTTCATTGTTGCAATTACTATTGTAAAGATACCTTGTAAATGTGGAAAGTATTTGAAAATAAGTTTTTCATCAAAAAACTGTCTCTAATCCTGCAGTTTATTCTAAAACCTATTCAAAGAGCAAATTGAGCCCCGGATTTTTATCCTGGGTTAAATTGCAAATAGAGTTTCTATGCTGTTTTGTAATGAGTATGTTGTGATAAAATCACAGAACAACAGACTGGATTTTAGACACTCACTCCTCTTCCTTTCTGCCTTGTCTGTAAAATAAAACAAAATACAATAAAGAACCTATCAGCCTCAGTGGATGGGCCGAGAAAGAGATTTTGGCCCTAAAATATCTCAAGCTTCCTGTGAAGTCTGATTTCAATTTATACTTATTAAAATGTCAGCTCTGCAGGAATGCACTATTTTAACACTCCATAGAAGTAGAAACACAGTTTAAAGAGATGGAGGAAGAGGGGGAAGGAGGTGGAGAATGAGGGGGAAGGAGGGGGAGGCAGAGGGGGAGGGAAAAGAAGTAGCAGCAATAGCAACTGCTCTGCACAAAATAGCTCTGATCTTGGCTAGCTATTAACTGTTGAATTTCTTTGGAAAATCAAGGGAGATGCATTACACACAGGCGTTCTAGGAACCAGGTTTGCCAAGTTTGTTTTACCTAACTCATCAATTAGCTTCCCCACCCCACCACCACCACTGACCAAAAACCATTTGGAGGTTCTTTTCTCCTTGTCTGCCTTCTAAATCCTGCCCACCCTTTAGGGTCCAATCCTCTCTCCCATGAAGTCTCCAGAAATGACTCACCATTCTTTTGCTTTGCTGAACGCAGACTCACAGAAATTTAAGGTTAAAGTGGACAGTGGAGTTTCTTACTCACCCTCAGATTCTGCAAAATTCCTGAGCCATCACCACCTGCTGCTGAAATAGCTCTGGTGACAGAGAATGCATTACAATGCATGGCATTCACAGGTTCTGTTGTTGACTAGCTAGAAACAACAGAGCCAGAC